ACTTTAGATTAAGCTAAACTTTTCCTGCATTCATAGCATGATCATAAGTCATTTTATGGGTTTTCCTTGTAAGTGCATTAAGGATTTTTGTGTAAAATAGAGTGGGAAAATGTAATGGTGTCCTACATGGAAACAGATAAGAAAATATTTCTTATATGATTTGGGACTGGCGTAAGAGACAAGAAGGGTGTAGAAAACTATTATACCTTGGGATTTATATGATTCCAAATGTCTATAGTTATAACCAGTTTTAAAGGATTATATCTTGAGATTTACATGACTTTAAGTGTTTGTAGTTATAACCAGTTTTAAATGATTATATCTTGGGATTTTTATGCCTTCAAGTGTTTGTAATTATAACCAATTTTAAACGATTATATCTTTTGATCTATATGACTTTAAGTATTTGTAGTTACAACTAGTTTTAAACGATTATATCTTGGAATTTATATGACTTCAAGTGTTTGTAGTTTGTTTGTTTGGAATTAAGCACAAAGCTACACAAATGGCTATCTGTGCTCTGCCCACCACGGGTATCAAAATCCGGATTCTAGCTTTGTAAGTCCGCAGACATACCACTGTGCCTTTGGGGCTGTTTGTAGTTATAACCAGTTTTAAAAGATTATATCTTGGAATTTATATGATATCAAGTACTTTTAATTATAACCAGTTTTTTTTATTAAGGTTCCCTGTTTGGTCAGCGGTCAGTTTACGGATTTACAACGTTAAAATTTGAGGTTCGATTCTCCGCGATGAAAAAAACAGTACAATACGGCTTTGATGTAAAACAAACAAACCATTTTAATTAACAAATGGGTTAGGACCTGTATGACCGCAAGTGGGTTTATTTGTAACCAGTTTTTCTTATAAAAGTTCCCTGTTGGGGCAGTGGTAAGTTTACGGATTTACAACGTTAAAATTCGTGGTTCAATTCTCCGCAGTGAACACAACAGATAGTCTCATATATGGCTCTGCTGTAAAACAAGCAAACCATTCTGATTAACTGATGGGTTGAGATATAGATGGCCTCAAGTTGTTTTATTTATAACCAGTTTTTCTTATTAATAATAATGTTGTCATTTTTCTAATCTCATATGTTAGTGTAAGGTTTTCGTTTTAGTAGAGTAACATTTAAACAAATAAAGTGATTTGCGTGTGGGTGTATTTCCACTTGTCCTCCCAAAGATTTTCATGACTTTTATGACCGGGAGACCTTCATGGTTCTTGGGTATGGCCCATATCCGAATAGATTCGAGAAGTTCAACTCAGATAATATACCAAAAATAGTTACACCAATAGAAGTAAGCTGTCAGTACAGATGTATGTCTAGAAGACTTTGCCTGTATATTACAGACCTACATGGCGAATGATGGACAAGTACGTCATTCAGCTTTATATGAAAAAAAATATTTGATGATCTGTGTGACGTTACCAAAATTGATGTTGTAATTACGAGTTAATGAACAACGTATAATATAATATATCTGTTCAATAATTAAAAACATAATAGGTCTAACCAATAACATAGAACATAATAGGTCTAACCAATAACATAGAACATAATACGTATAATCAATAACATAGAACATAATACGTATAATCAATAACATAGAACATAATAGGTCTAACCAATAACATAGAACATAATACGTATAATCAATAACATAGAATATAATAGATCTAATCAATAACATAGAAAATAATAGGTCTAATCAATAACATAGATAACATGCGTGATATATTGCAAATAAATGTTTACTTACCTACGTGGTATCAAAAAAGTGCTTACTTACCCACGTGATACGTTGGTATTCGTTTTTCATCCTGTGGTGTAAACTCAGGAGCATGCGCAAATGCCTCGTCTAAGGGAGCGAAGAGTGTCACCCTACGTTTCTTTAGCAGAAGTTGAGCGAGCTCATCGTTGTTGGCCAGTTGCAAAAACTAAGATAAAAAACAATATCTGTGAATCAATACTTTAAAAACGTTTAATCTTTCCAATGAGTTTTCCTAGTTAGTTCGTGTGTCACCAAATCAGTTTGTATGTTAGTTCGTGTGTCACCTAATCAGTATTTAAGTTAACTCGTGTGTCACCTAATTAGTTTGTAAGTTAATTCATGTGTCAGCTAATCAGTTTTTAAGTTAATTCGTGTGTCACCAAATCAGTTTGTAAGTTAATTCGTGTCACCTAATCAATTTGTAAGCTAGTTTTTGTGTCATCTAATTAGTTGATAAGTTACTTCGTGTGCCACCTAATTAGTTTGTAAGTTAACTTGTCTCACCTAATCAGTTTGTAAGTTAGTTCTTGTGTCACCTAATCAACTTGTAATAGTAAAGTTGAATTATTATTGGAATACTTATCTATATATATAATAAATCACAAACGTGTTTGGAAATATAACAATTCACGTATGTTTGTGTAATGGAAAAATCACGACGGTATTACTGTCTTATCCATTATTATCATTACAGTTACGAAACACATCTCTCTACATAATTAATTACTGTTGGAATATACAGGATGAACCAAATTATTCACCGAAAAAGTAAAGCGTCATAAGACAAAAACAGTGAGCAACAATGCTTAATTACCATACACACAAGGTCTAAATTGTATACAAAGGATCGTACATTTCAGTTTCTCCTGGGTGGACTTCAAGCTGGCCACACATTGACTCAGCGGTAAGTCTGAAGGCTTATAACTATAAATACCGGGGTTTTTGTTTTCTTTTTTATCCTTGCACGTCTATAAGGTTGTACAGATTAAACCTATTATACTCCGAGCGTGTGAGTGGATAGAGAGACTTTAGAGGACTCCCGAGGACCCCTATACAGCAAGAACGAATCAGGGTTTATTCAAACACTTATTAAATCGGCTTCTCTTTATATGTCCTTCAGTGCTTTACTAAGTTTAAATTACAATCTCAACGTCATTGGCAGGCCACAAAAATAATTACTTGGTACCAGCTTATTTATTTTTTTTACCATCTGTCTCCATTACACGTTTCTTTTCAAAGACCCTTGGGTGATTGTTTAAAGGAGCTGACACAGTTTTATTAAGGTTCAAATACCTTATGTCAACACCATCTTTAGAAACAAGGCTGAGCTGTATGGAGAGCTTTACATTTACTGTTGCTTCTCAAATTCAGATGAAGCGTTCTTGTTCTTCGCAACTTTCTCGTTAGAGATCAAACTCGTTCCATCTTTTCTTAGCTGCGGCATAGTGGCTCACAGAATGGCTCTGAGCTATGTTTTTCAAGTACAAACTTTTGGCTCATAGTTCCGTCACCTCTTGACCGATTTGAAGTCTAATTAAATTTTGTACTCAGGATTAATGTGTTTGATCATGCCCAAGGTCTCATAGATTAATCTATTCTAATCTTACCTAAAATAATTTTAATTTCACTCTTAAAATAGGGATGGCTTGCGCAGATAGCCCTCGCGTAGCTTTGCGCGAACTTCAAAAGAAACAAATTCAATCCATTTGTTGACCATTTTCTACATGTCTGTTATTATTTCGGTATAGCAGATATTGTTCCAGTCTCAATTGTTGGCATAATTATTAAACAATTTCACTTGTTGACCATTTTCTATATGTCTGTTATTGTTTTGGTATAGCAGATATTGTTACAGTCTCAATTGTTGGCATAATTATTAAACAATTCATTTGTTGACCATTTTCTATATGTGTTATTTTTTTGGTAAAATTTTCTATATGCTGTTATTATTTTGGTATAGCAGATATTGTTCCAGTCTCAATTGTTGGCATAATTATTAAACAATTTCATTTGTTGACCATTTTCTATATGACTGTTATTATTTTGGTATAGCAGATATTGTTCCAGTCTCAATTGTTGGCATAATTATTAAACAATTTCACTTGTTGACCATTTTCTATATGTGTTATTTTTTTGGTATAGCAGATATTGTTGGCATAATTATTAAATAATTCCACTTGTTGACCATTTTCTATATGTGTTATTTTTTTGGTATAGCAGATATTGTTGGCATAATTATTAAATAATTCCACTTGTTGACCATTTTCTATATGTGTTATTTTTTTGGTAAAGCAGATATTGTTGGCATAATTATTAAATAATTCCACTTGTTGACCATTTTCTATATGTCTGTTATTTCATAATTAACACCGCGAAATTGTGTTGTGAGTAATTTTTACATGTTGGGCAACATTAAAATGAAACATCGTAACAAAAATCTCACACGAAACCAAAAAGCAGGACCTGACGGAGCAACAATGGTAAAGAACGTTGGTCAATTTTACACTTTTAACAACTGGGATTTTGGGAAGAATAATGGATTCTCGCGAATAAAAAAAAACGTCCGTGTTCAATAAAATGATAGGCCTAACACTACTGTCTCGTGCACAGTAGAATTACTTATAACCATGCCTCATCAGCATAGAATAAGCGTTTACACTACAACAACTGTTGTTGTAACTAATGATGTCTCGGCCACTACCATGCTTATTGTGTCCCAGCAGTCATGATGAGCTCTGTATTGAGCGAAATGCGTCGTCGGTAATGAATATAATGGACATACTTACTATTATACATTTTGCTTCTTCATTTTCACAAACCCTAAATAGAGAATATTGTGTTAAAAATATAATAGGTCTAACCCTAATGTATTATGATGAGTATAATTAATTATCATCATGTTTCGCCAGCTGTAAAAAAGCGTTCACAGCATAGTAGTTGTACGTGATAAAGGCTGGATTTTCACAGAGAAGTACAACCCTATGTAATGAAAATTGGATTCTCGCGAAGAAAACAAAATGTACGAATTTGGTAGAAGCATCGGCGCCGCCAAAATGAGGGGAGAGGGGGAGGGATAACCATGTAGAGGCGCTAACCATATTCTTTTTGGTTATATATGGCGAAATTGGCATATTGTATACTGGGGAGAAATGTTATCAGCTAAATACAATCGAAAAAGCTATGTTCTAATCAAACAGTAAGTAGAATTTGTATCTCGGCCTACAAACGCCCCTTTTTTATTAACGTGGTATTATTTCATGTTTTACGTACATCTATATCTGGGGTGTGAATGGTGGAAAAGTGTGAAACAAAATAAAACACCGTGATTACATTACTTGCTACTACTTTCATTCCTTGCTTCCATATTTCAAGTCACACAATTATGCCAAAGATGCTAAACGTTTCAAATTAAAACAAGTTAACCCTATTCCTATCAATATAACCTTATTTTGTTCATTGATCCAACCTTTTCAACAATAGTAGCGTACTGTCACTTACGGTACTTACTGTCCACAGACTTTACACGTATACGTGATTAACGTATCAAGCGAGCTAAGTAATTTGAAAAAGAACTGGGCGATTAGGGGGGGCTTGACTCAAATCTACCGCCAACTCTTAGGCTACTCCTTTTCGATGAACAATAGGCCTGGCATGGCCAGGTGGTTAAGGAGCTCGATTCGCAGTCTGCGGGTCGCGGGTTCGAATCTCCGTCCCACCAAACATGCTCGCCCTTTCAGCCGTGGGAACGTTATAATGGGACGGTCAATCCCACTATTCGTTGGTAAAAGAGTAGCCCAAGAGTTGGCGGTGGGTGGTGATGACTAGCTGCCTTCCCTCTAGTCTTACACTGCTAAATTAGGGACGGCTAGCGCAGATAGCCCTCGTGTGGCTTTGCGCGAAATTCAAAACAAACAAACAAACAATGAACAGTGGGACTGACTGTCACTATATAACGCCCATATGTCTGAAAAGGCAAACATATTTGGGGACGAGTCGCGGGATCGAAACTATTCATTGAAAAGGAGTAGCCTAAGAGTTGGCGGTGGGTGGTGTTAACTAGGTTCTTAAAAATACATACAAAAATGCTAAGGGATTCATTGACACCAGGAGCATTAATTGGTTTTGAATGTGTTTACAGTTCCCTAATACTATTCGCGGGAAAACTAGTATTTTAAAATGCGCAACTGAAAACATTTGACTAAATATAATTACGTGACTGTGTTATTCCGCTCGGGACTTTTTGCCACCAAAACGTTTTTATTAAAATGTGTAATAAGAATAACCTAATTTTAAAAAGTACACGCCAGTCTATTTACGTTAACATAAGAACTTGTATCCTTTAAAATACCCTGTTTTATTATAAACGTGTAAAGATATGTTTATTTTTTCTAGGTGGCGCTACCGTTCCGCTATTCTTAAAACTGTAGCTCTTCCGAGTCTCGGGATGTACTTAGTATCAAGTAAAAAATTGACGTAGTCGTTTCTCTCGTAAATGGCAGTAATAAAGTAATGTCTATACGTTCTTCCTTTTGAAAAGCTCTTGTCAGAATAGCTTATATGTGCTAACAGTACGTTAAGTGTGTTTCATTCCTACCCCATCGTAGAACTTCCTGTAAATCTGTCCTAACCGTCGTGTCCTTAGTAAAAGTGCCGCGCTGGTCTCTTAACACAACAGTTGGTAGCAGTTTACAAATATTAGCTCATCCTTTCTGATGATATTAGAAAACGGACAATAAAGTCAATAGCTGAAGATAAAGTGCAGCTGCTCATGATTCTGTACTCTAAACCTTGGGTGTTTTCTAATATGCTCCCCCCCCCCCAGTGGCACAGCGGTATATTTCTGCGGACGTATACTGCTGGAAACCGGGTTTAGATACCCGTAGTGGGCAGAGCACAGATAGACCTTTATGTAGCTTTATAAGAAACAACACAACATAGTTTCCCGTTACAAAAATCCTCTGGTGGGTCAGCTGTGAATTTCTGGGCTTACAATGCTAAAATTCGGAGTTCGATTCCCTGTAGTAGACAGAGTACATCTAGTCACTTGTTTCGCTTTTCGCTAAAACCCAACTCTAATGCAAATATAAGTTAGTAAGAAATATTAAGTTATAACCTTGAAAATGTTTGATTAACTTATTATTAAATATAAATGTCTTTTCTTCTTTT